GGCTGTTCAATCCACATGGTCTCACAGGCCATGTACTCTGATTCAGAGTATTCTTGTGTAAAAGCTAAGTGCAACCACAGAAGACCAAAACCTGTAAGCCACTTGTAGGTAACTCTGGAGCAAGTTAAGGTGGATTTGGGATAGCAGTTCTGCACCGAGTGCTGCCCCCTCTCTGAGTTCCCTTCTCGCTTTTGCATCCCAACCTCTTCCACATGTGCGCAAGAGCTGAGCATGGTGGGGGCAGTGGCACAAAAGGATGAGGGGTGCCCATAGAAACAAGGCCCATAACCGAGTCCCTCCAGACTGTGCCAGGCGGGCCTGTTCCCCAGGAGCTGGGTGTCTCCTTGCTGAAACCTCTTGTAAACACAGGCAGAAAAAACTGTGCTAGAGCTGCTTGTGATTTTTATGTGAAAGTTCAGGAAAATGTGATTTTTAATATTTTTTTTTTCTACTCAGAATAAGCTTGGAATGTGTGCTTACGTTTGTTTGGGGTTTTGGGTCATTGTATAATAGTTTAAACTGAACATCTGGCAGTTATTTGGGGGTTAATTGAGGGGTTTCATATTGGGTCCAAATAAAGTCTTCTCTGGCCCTCTGTAAAAGGAATAAAACCTCATCCTTGAGGGGTTTGCTTTAGCAACTAGATACAAATGATAATTAACAAAAGCACCTTTAAAGATTATTTTAGTTTGTTTTCTTTTCTAAGTCTGAAAAAGACCATTTTAACTAATCAAACCCTGTATACACAAACTCTTGCCTAGTTTCTTACTAGGTAGTTTGGGTCTTCAGGATAATTTTTACAGGCTGCTGTTTAATTTTGCTGATTTGACCTCTACTACTGTAACAAGAGAAATAAAAGGCACCTGCTTAATCTGGGTTCCTGAATAGCCTTGTTTGTAAGCATGTTAATGTAAGATATCCTTACTACTAGGAGGGCCTCTGTTGTAATATAGTATTAAATCTGGTTGAGGTGCAACAAAGTAGGACCTAAATCAGTCTTGCAGAGTCAGCATCTGCCTTCCGGTGCAGCACTTTTTGTGATAGCATTTAATGTGTGAAGGATCTCCAATTGCTCAGAGTAATGGTATGGTCTTTGCAGAAATAAACTTGATTGGGGATGATGGATTTGATTTTTATTTTGTTCAAAATAATTGTTTGCAAGCATGATATTGGTCTTAATTCTTATTTAAAGCTTGTTTGTTGTATAGCAGTGAGAACAGTTGTTGTCACATGTATGACAGTGTTGGGAAATGAGAATGTTTCTAACACACTGAGTTAAAATATTTGTGTTTTTATTGTAATTACACAGTATCTGTGTTTGAAACAGAGGGAGGTGTGGGCCTGCATTCACACTCTGAACTCTGCATGTGCAAAATGACATACTAGTTTTGATGTTCCTGGTATGGGGAGTCACTAGAAGCAGCCTGAAACTTAACTGCTGAACCGGCTGAGTCCAGCATGTGGATGGGTAGTTGGGAGAGGGTGAGGGGATGAATAGCTGCCATGGCAAAGCAAGTGTTTTAATATTTAGTTACTATATTTTACAGTAAATCTAATTCTAGATCAGGTTCTGGTCTTAGAAAAGCTTCCTCAAGCTTATCTAAATTTGACCCAAGTCACTTAGAATGCAGCATCTCCTAGTGAGCTAAACCTGCTGAAATGTCGCCATATTTATTGACTTTATCTAAAAAGGAAGTTGGTAGCTGCAAGGACAGGCTGCTGACATAAAAAGCTTGTCTTGGATCGCACATTTGGCTGGAGGCCAGGTAATGAGTTTCTATAGGAGTTTGTTGGCAAGCTTAGGTTTTTGCTTAGGTTAATCTAATGTAACTGCAAGTAATATGGAAGCCTGGTACATCCAAAACAATTTTTAGACAAAATGTTCTTATCTTTTTTTATATAACAGCTTCTTGTACTTAGGACATTAAAAATGCCTTGGAACATGATTCTTTACTATTTTCTTTTTTTAATGGTCAACCTACTGAATAATCCTTTAAAATATTGACACTGAAGGCATCTCTCTTTTGATAGCCTCTGTGTTACAGAGTTTAAGCAGACTGTCTTCAGTGGAGTGATCTGTTAGTGCTTTAAAGAAAGGTTTGCATTTTTAAAAGGCCAGGTGGTAACACACTTAAGGTTAGGTACATCAGTTTTACTAGTAAAAAATACGATATATGTATTCATGGGCACATTTGTTGGCCAGGTTATAATCTGTGACCTAGGCTGAAATTCTTGAACCATCCTAGGAGGAGGCTGGGTTTCAGGACTTTGTGTTCCCACTGTCTGACTCCGGCAGTTTCACCACTGGGCCCTTTCACTGGCCTCCTGGGTGTTTCTTTCTTCACTGCCTGAAGGCAAATCTTGAAGAGAATGAAGAGAAGGGGTGGAGATTGCTCTGTATCAGGATGTTTTGTTGCCTCTCACTTCTTTTGTATTAAGTGAATATGAACCCACTCTAAGGGGAAAACTGAATTCAGGTCTTGAAATGTGCACTGAAGTGCTATATATGCCACACTATAAAAAGAGGTCCAAATCCACCCTTAGTCTTTGAGGAGCAGTACATAAATGTGGCTGTAACTGGAGAACAGTGAGGCCTCCTGATGCTGCCCAAGGCAGCAGTCCTTCTCTGCAGCCTTGATTTGACTGTTTCACCCATAAGAGGGATGAAGGTGGCCTGGGATGCATACTTGTCCTCCACTGGTAGGGGCTGGTGAGTGCTGACCAGAAAAAGGATAATACTCTACCACAGAATCATAGAATATCTTGGATTGAAGGGACCTTAAAGATCATCTTCCAACCCCCTGCCATGGGTAGGGACATCTTCCACTAGACCAGGTTGCTCAAAGCTCAAAGCCTTGAACACTGCCAGGGATGGGGCAGCCACAGCTTTTCTGGACAACCTCTGCCAGTGTATCACTACCCTCATAGTGAAGATTTTTTAGCATCCTTATTATTTCTTTGTGCAGCTGTATCATTAGCAGTGTAAGCACAAATGCCAAACAAACAACTTGTTTTATAACTACTTGTCTGTAGGTCTGACTTATGTGGTATGTAAGAAACTGGTTGAATGCAGATGGAGATCTTTGAGATGGGAGGGAGGGTGATAAAGTTGTGCCAGTGCTTATCAGAGGTTTAAACTTCCCTGATAGCATTTGTTCTCTAGGTGCTATTAATAGTAGGGCCTAGAGATATTTCTGGATGTGATAGCTGACAAGTTTCTTCATCAAATAGTCAATGAATGAGCAAGAAACGTTTCTATTTTAAACTTAGCTTTGACAAGTAATAGAACTTCAAACAAAAGTTGTTCGTAGAAAATAACTTTGCTGTGAGTTACTGCAAGTGATTCTCTGTAAGTGAAAGATTAAGCACATGGCTGCAGCTTTAAGTGTCTCTGATAAAGGAAGAGTTTTTCTGGGGTTTTCTGCCAGCTACACTATAGGGTATTTATATTAGTTTCAGACTTCAGTGTTTAAGTGAAGGCTGGTAATAAACCTTGGCAGAGGTGCAAAGTCAGGCAGATTTTTGGGGGGAGCGATCTGGTTTGAACTTTGTGTGAACAGTCACTGCCAGAGTGTTAGGGTAAGCAGAGAATCTGCAGGGAAAGAAGAGCTCTGTTGAAAAGCGGTTTGTGCTGGGAGGTGAGAATTGCTTCAACTGTCAAGGCTGTGGGAGCCAGTAGCAAAAGGCTCTTCTTGCTCTTTATTTATACTTCTGAAGTGACCCATGTCTATCTCTGCCTTTGCTTTTTCATCTCACACCAGTGCCTGGGGTGATGTGCCATGAAGCTAAGCATGCTCTCTGATGAAGAGCATGGCAGTGCTGACCATAGGGAAGCAAGGATAGTAACAAGTGCCTCAAAATAAATTCTTAGCACTGCAGAGGCCATTTGGGAGACTATTGTGGCACCTTCAAAATGGAACACTCTGAGCTGAGGAAGAGAATAATACATGTAGAGCATTAAATCGGATGGATTTGGCAGGTCTTCTTTAAATCAGAACTTAACACAGTCTTGGAAAGCTATCATTACAATGAATTCATGTACATTAATTAAGCTTTCTTCTGTTGTCTCTTAAGAGGCCAAATGCTTCTCCCAGTATGATTTATGATTTAGAATTTCAGTATTGCTCCTGTCAAACACTGTCTCTGGAAGTGGATTGTCCTGGGCATTTCTCCTTTCTCTGCATGCGGTGGCACCTACGTGTTCTGCAGAAATACTGCTCCGCCGTTTCTCTTGCAGTGAAGTTTTGGCCATGCTAGTTTTATAGCAGTGTGAAAGCACCTCTAATAAAGTGATTCTCGTTTGCATCTTGAAGGGAGTAACAGAAATCTAGCAAAGGGTATACAAGATTATCAGCAGTGGTAACTTTAAGGATTTTGGCAGTGCATTTGAATGTGGCTTTTATGGTCAACTTCAACAGTCTCTAGTGTTTGGTGGGAATCTCTGCATGGGTCTGTCTGTTGGCTTCCTTCAATAAACACTTGATACTTTCTCTTTTCTTAGCCTGAAGCAGTAGGGAGGTGAGATAGCATCCTTACTCTTTTCCTCCTTTTTTTTTTTTTTTTTTCTGGGAATTTAAAGGTTGGTTGTGAAGCTGAGTGGATTTTCATTTCTTTGATTAGAAGCATCAGCAAGATGAAGAATGTGAACTTATAAAGTAAACTGTTTTTTGTTTCAGGTAACCTGTTAGGAACTGACTTCCTAATCTTTCTTTAGCCTGCAGGTTGTTAGCTTTACACTTGTTTTAAAAATAGCCACGAGAAAGAGGCCATTTCCCTGTTACATGTGGGAAGACGGTAAATCATCAACTACTGAAAAACAAACCATGCATCTGTTGCACTGTGGAAAAGAAGTGCCCGTTACAAAGCTAAGCTGCAGGATGTTTTCCCTCCAGTGGCAAGAAGGCCCCTGCAAAGATGTCTTGAAGTAGTTAGTGGTTAGAATGTGTGTTTAGGTGTAGTGCAAACTTTCTAACATCCTCTTGATGTCTTGTTTCTTGCAGAGACTCCAACCGTCATGTTAAGGTAAAGCAGAAAAGTGCAGTGCTGAACATGCTAAAGAAGTTGGACAAAATAAGGTTCAGAGGTCACAAGAGAGATGAGTTCCTTGATTTAGCAGAGTCTCCAAATGCTTCTGACACTGAATGTGGAGATGAAATCCCTGTGAAAGTACCTCGAACGTCAACTCGAGACAATGAAGAGCTGAGAGACCCTGTAAGTACTTGATTTAAATGTTTTTATATTGTTATATAGCTGTCAAGCAGAAAAGATAACAGGAACTAATAATTCTTTGTCATTATATTTTAGATTTAACATTTGAAGATTTGTGGACTAAGAAGTAAGCTTCTAGTAATAGGCTTCTGTTTTCTGGAAAGATCAATAAATTTCTTACTATTAGGGTTCTCTGTCCCTGCTATTGATTTTAGATGTTGTGGGTTGACAGGTTTGTTAAACTTGGATGTGCTTCTGAATGCTGTCTGGTTTGTGTTTTGTTGAATTACTAATGAACATATCTGAAGGAAGGAGTTGTTTTCAGTCTGAGGAACACAGATCTACCCTAATGGCACTTGCCAGGTCTGCAGGGATAAGACTTCTGGTGGCTTCATTAGAGCCAGAGGGTCACACCACCTTGTTCTTCACTCAGTGTTATATCCAGTAATGCTTCAATGCTATGGAACTGGTTAAAACTCATACAGGAGGTGCTAAATTTTTTTTGGTGCTTGTAAGCAGAAGCACCCAAACAGACTTACCTTTTAAAAACACCCTGTTTCAGCTAAAGTTAAATATTAGGCAAAAAATAAATAAAATCCTGCTTTAACTGTTAAAACATGGCTGTGGATTCTTGAGCTCGGAGTGCTACAATCTAAATTAAGATTTGTCTGTGTAACTGTATTGTAGAATGTGACTTGGAAGTTAGAATTTGTACTGCCCTATTTGAAACTCACTGTGCAGTTCTTATCCTCAGAATGTGGTCAGGCTGTTGTCTGAAAGCTCATTTCTAGAATCACGGAGTTTGCTCACCTAAAGTTCTAAACTGGAAGACTTCATACTGTGTATGCTTAAGCAACCTTTGGGGTTGGCAGCTTGGATCCTGTTCTGTAGCTATTAGGATTTTTAAATTTAAGTGTGCTTGTGTAATACCATGTACAGTCCTGTTTATGTGGAGCTCTTTTGTGAGAATTTTTCTTTCCCTGTGATCATGGAACAAACAAATGGTAATGACAGCATTTTTCATTCACAAAAAGTCTGTTGTATGCAAATTGTCAAGCTCCTTGGACGAGGAAGTCTGTTGTATGCTTTTCCTCTGCTCTTATTCTTCTGAAGACATCTGCTATTTGTTAACATGTACAGACCATGTATGCTGGGACTAATCTGTGCTGCTGCCCTTGCAACATGGTATTTTCTGAAGTTTTTTTTGTAGGTAAATACTGGCTTGTTTTCATTAAACCGAAGTCATTATATATGTGTGGAGAGCACACATAAATATTTACCTGTCATTCCATCTATACCATTGTGTCCAATCAGAAGGATCTGGATTGAAGACCAAGAGGCTACAAAAAGATGTCTTGAACCCTAGATACTATTTTCTGTATTTCTTTAAGAGGGTAGTAGCTCCAGGATGGTATGGCTGAGGGGACAGTTTTGACTAGTTATAAAGCTTTGTGGCTGCATATCTGCAGTGATGGTCTCTGTTTTCTCAAATTGCTGCCCGCCTAGAGCAAGAAGGGAGAAGAGGTAATCCCTTATGCTGCAGAGGTGGCAGGAGTAAGGAAAGTAATGCTTGTATATTTCATATTAAAACAGTGGCTGAGGTTCTGTGAACAGGGCAATTCTGAATTATGTCTCTATTATTGAGATCACATAATTGAATTGTGCCTGAATTGCTTTTAATTCAGTGACTAAAACTGAAATCTTAAATTGCTTATACAGGGTTATTTTCTCTCTAAGCATCTTAGTATTACTCTTCTAGTACACTGATCATGAGAAGACCAAGTCTTGTTGGTATCTTCCTGTTTAATACCTTAGGGAAACTGTTGAAAGCATAAAAAAGTCAGTGCAAGTCTTGTGCATGAATTGAATATATGCTGCTTGTCCTTTCAGATAGATATGAGCTGTACTGTGCTTCCACTTCTGTTGCTTCACTGATTCTATTAAAATCTGAGTACAGAGCTCATGGGCTTCAAAGAGCAAGATTGGTGGCTTGGAACTGATCATAGGCATACAAAATTTGAGTGCTGGCCCCCTTATCTTCAATATGTAGATATCTGACTCCACTGTCAGCCATTCCCTTGACAAAGGCTTCATCTCTGCCCCTCTCTACTTCTCTCTCCCCCCCCCCCCCTTCAGTCTGGTGTATTATTCGTTACAGAGCTATTAAGGAAAGATCTCCATCTATTAGAACAGTACAGCAGTGTCGTGAATGAAAGGCCCTTCTGTACTCTGCTGCAAGAGTACATAGTGAACTTAGAAATGTGCACATTAGGTGCCTCTTCTTCATGTCTGTGTCTGAACTTGACAAGCATATGCAAAAACTTGCTACAAATGGAGGTTTTAGAATAAAAAGCCTTGCCATAAGGCTTGTGATTGCAGAGCCCTGCAAAGAGCAGCATTCTTTGCTGTGCACCTCCAGCAGTGCACATTCAGTCCTGGGCCACAGATACAGCAGTGGGACTTTGTCCCAGCACTTCACATGTCTTGCTGAAGCAGCAGGTGCAAAATTTACACACAGTGGAAGGACAGAAAGGATGTCCAAATGAGGTCATCTTACATTCTTTACCTTGAAATCATGAGCTTTACCTGTTTAGTTCAATAATATGCATCCTGACTTATGTTTGGGTAAAGCACACAGGTAGCTCCTGGTAGGAGGGCCCTGGGGTTGGAAGGATTTGTTATTTTCCTTTGAATTTTCCTCAGTGGTTCTTTGTTCAAAAGGTGTCTTACTGTTGATTTGCACTACCTTGGTCTCAACTTACAGGCTGGATGTTTGCTTGTATGGCCACTTTCACCCACTTTTATTGAAGTGTTCTGACTACCAGGTATGTCTTGGGTAGCAGGTACTTTCTTAGGTCTCTGTGGGTCCCTGGACACTGTGATCAAATCATTGCCAAGACAGCCAAGACAATGTTGATTAGCACATTAACTCTTTCTGTGTTGATTAGCACAAGCATCTCTTTCAGTTCCTGAATAGCTTCCCAGATTTCTTCTTCCCTTTTCTCTTTACCATAGGTGGTTGATAGTTTGTTTTTAAAGCAAGGACATTCAGCACTGCATGCAGCATTTATTTCTGCATTGTTATGTAAAAATACCACAATCACTGAATAGGTAGAGGGGGTAATCTGATCCATTCCTACTTCCTAATTGTGAATGTATTAGCATTTGGCCTGTTGTGACATTGGAAATTCAGGTAATGTTGCTTGCTTGGTAATTAAAGTCTCCTTTATTCAGTGCCATCATAGTTTCCTGTTCTGAATATGCAGCATGGGTTCCTTCCTGCTAAATCACAGTTCTGTGCCTAAACCAGCTTTAAAATATTGCTTTGGCAACTTGATTTGCTAAGATGCAAATGTTTGCAAGTGTTCAGGGAGGGGAACTGTGCCCTGAAAATCATAGCCCGCCCTTAGATTTGCCAGTTCTGGCTTGATTTGCCTAATTTTAACTTTTGTCGTTTTGTGCTATAGATGAATTTATGTGCTCCCGATGTGACAAATGTCCTGTTTCTATAAAAGGGGAGAAAGTGTTCTGTACTGAATGAGTGCAGTGCAGAGGAGGCTCATGTCCCCTTCAGCAGAGGGAGAGAAAGAACAAATTCATGTTTAAACCCATGAAGGTTCTTCACTAACCTAGCAGTAAGAATTACAAGTTGAAGGGCTCTCGTAGCTGTCATGTTGTACTGAACCAGCCTAATCTACTTATGCAAGTTCCCTGCCAGTGTGCTAGGATTAAATCTGAGTTACTGTGGTACAGAAAACACTAATTTACTTGCTATTCCAGTACAGTTTGGATTTTCTGAAACTCGTCAATTAAAACATTAAACGCTTCTGTATTGGTCACCTCATTTACAGTGATTGGAAAATATAGGGCATGATATTTAGGAAAGTATAAAGTGCTGTACAAACATTACAATTAAGATAATAAAGTCTCTAATCCTGGCTAGCACTGGTCTTGGTTTTGTTGGGTTTTTCTAATTTATGTAAAATATAGCTGTGTTTTCAGGAGCTTGCCAATATGGGTATGCTTTCAAGAATAGCTACTAAGGATTAACTGTTCATGCAAATGCTTTCTGTTCTTGAGCAGTGTTGTAGGGTTTTCCCTTTCCTTACTGCAGGTAAGTGCAGCAGCCACAGGGAACCCTTTTGTAATTGGAGGTAAGAAAATGCACATGAAGTGTCAGTTGAGAACTCCATGGGGCTTCAGCCTCTCTAGGCAAGGGTTCACAGGATGAATGCAGGCTGGGGAGAGAAGGGAGGGAAGGCAGAGAACTGTCAGGTTGGGAGGTGCTGCCAAAAAGCCAGAGCTGCTCACGCTTGAAAACACATTGTGGGGAGCTGTGGTTTTTCATATCCGGAGCTGGATGTGGCTTGGGACTGCAACTCTGAACTCTGATAGTGGGTCAGAGGCAATCTATTGTCAGCGGAAATCTTCCTTTAACCCCTCTGTCTTGGAACCTGTGCTCTACTCTGGCATTTTGGTGGCTTCTTAGGTACCACCAGGCCTTGTGAGCAGGCTTTGCTAATTAATAGCCAACATTTTAAGAGGGCTCTGTGTCAAATACTGTCAGAGTTAGAGAGGCAGAAGGAAAAGCAGAAATCAGTGGAAGCCTTCAAGGCTTCTGCTGTGAGTCAAACCCAAGAAAGGGCATCTGTACAGTATGGTGTAGTTAATTTGGCATGAGTCCCAGCACTAGCCTACACAGGCAGCAGAAAGGAGAAACCTTTACCCGGTTAACACTGCTAACTTCACAGAGAAGTACTTTTTTTAATTCAGAGGCAGGCAGTTGATCTCCAGCAAATATATAGACCTTATTTCTCATCTTTTTAGCCTATTAACACCTCTTGACAGAATGAGGTGTGTTGGTTTGGGGAAAAAACTTCAGGGACATAAGAGCTATCTGCTTAAATGTCTCCCATACCACTGCCCCGGACGTGCTCGGTTTTCTGAATGCTTCTAAGTTGTATTCATTAATATGTTATGGTGTCACTGATTTTGGAACTTGG